GGGGGGGGGGGGGTGTCGTCGTCTTGTGACTTTTTCTGTACCTCGTGGTGTAGTAGTAGGTTGTCGTCAGCTTGATAATTAACGCCAGTGCCCGAGGCCATGGTCAGTGGTGAGGGGGGACACGTGAGTCATTAGTGAGTTCTCGAGAACTGCGTTCTTCTACAACACGTGATGATGATGATGACAGGCTTCGGGGTGGCAGACCGCGCGTATAATGACTTGGCTGGATCTGATGGTGTTTGGGCGGGTTCAGAGCTTTTGGACTCATCGTGATTGGGTGGTTGGCGGGTGCTCTGGTGTGGTTTGCTTCTTTTTTCCTATCAAACATATATCGTCCTTATCTCCCCCTCCTTCTTTTTTGCGTTTATTACTCTCTTGTAACACCTCTAATCTTCGGCACGTATATGACCTTATTGTGTGCGAGTGCCGTAAAACACTTAATAAAACTAAAACTAAACTCCTCGTGATTGTTAGCCATGCTTCTTCATCTTAACCCTCTAAGAAAACAATGACCTACTTTGTTCGCGTCAGATCCAATATTTATTCGCGAACTTACTCAGGTGGGTGCTCTGGTGTGGTTCGCTCCTTCTTTCCTATCAAACATTATCTGTCCTCCTCATCTCTCCTCCTTTTGTTTGTATGCTACACTCTAGTAACACTTGTAATCTTCGGCACCTACATGACCTGATTGTGTTGCTAGAGCAGTAAAACACTGGATAAAACTAAAATAGAACTTGACCCTTGTCCCAAAGATTCTCTACTACACGATCTTTGCTTGTCCGTTACGTTGTTCTGACCACCTGCCTCAGCACTATATCTCTGTGTGTTTGTTGACATCAAGGACTTTAGAACATATTTATATAACCTTATAACCCCCTTCCTTGGCCTGCAGCCTTTTAACTTTGATTTGTGGGTGGTTGGCGGGTGCTCTGGTGTGGTTTGCTCATTTTATTCTTTCCTATCAAACATCCATCGTCCTGATCTTTCCTCCGTCATTTTCGTGTTTTATTACTCTCTTGTAACACCACTAATCTTCGGCACTTATATAACCTTATTGTGTTGCAAGTTCCGTAAAACTCTTACTAAAACTAAAACTAACTTTGATCTGTAGGTGGTTGATGTATTTGATGGTAACACAACTCCAACTTTCTTCAGAGCCCCACGAAAGTATTTGATTAACTGATTATTCTTTTTTTTTAAAATCTTTATACATGTACTCCACTCCAGGTCTGCTGACGTTTGTGAACGCCTACAGTGTGCGTGCGGCCACCCGGATCCAGGATGTGTTCACATTCGCCAAAGTGTTTGCGCTGATCGTCATCATCATCACTGGGATTGTTCTCATCTGCCAAGGTATGGAGGGAACTGACCTGTGAGTTTGTTGGATGAGCCCGCAGTTCGTTCTGTCAGTATCCAGCGGAAAACCAATATAGACAAGACTTAGTGTTTGAAAACCTGTCTTGAGGTTCTTCTAGAGGTCAATGTGTACAGTTCACGGATTGTTTGGTGTACAATTGAAATTGTCCAAGATGGCCACCTATTGTCTAGAAGAGAAGTGGTCGTCTTAGACAGGTGGACATCTTTGAGACAGTGACATTATAATATTTTTAAAAAACACAGGATGGGAAAAGGGAAGTGGTCACTTTTTGTCTAAGTTTGACATCAGATTTGTGGAATTTCAAGGCCTGCAGCTTTTCATGCTGCAGGGAAGCACATATATATTTACAAAGTGTAGAACTGGCTCTAGCTAGGATTGCAGCTACGACCTATGATATATGTTCAGGGGGGGGGGAGGGGGGATGATTTAATCAGTATTTGACTTAGATTACAATTTTTACTCTAAATTCAGCTTTCGGTTTGAATTAACATTTAGCCTGGTAAATGACTTGTGAGACTTCAGTTTTTCTACTCCTTTTCCATTTCAGTATTTTCATTTTACAAATCTGTTCCCAGCCAAAATGTTTGTTATCACTGCAATATTTTGCGTACTTTAAGAAATGGCAAACAACAACCTTTCAAAGTGTTTATGATTAAAGAATGTGTGTAGCCTCACCCACCTTCCATGTTTTGCTTGTTCTCATAGGTGAGACAGAACATCTAGAAGACGCTTTTGCTGATTCCAACCCAGAGGTTGGCAAGATCTCTTTGGCCCTTTACTCTGGACTGTTTGCATATGCTGGATGGTAAGTCAGTGTATTGTTAACAATGATGTCTGGATGTATTGAATAGAGTAAGCTGAACATGCGTGAGTGCATGTGCGTGTTTGTGTGTGTGTGTGTAAACCTTCAGTTGCTTTATTTGATAATTATTTTAAATGTTACCAAGACTTTTTGAGTTGTGTTTGTCTTTATGATATCTTTTTTTTTCCCTTCCATATTGCATTATAAGGAAAGAAAACTTTTGCTGCATGTTACAAATATATTTGGCTATTGTATTCTTGGGATAGCCAGGACTAGTATTTAGATCCAGCTGGATCAAGTGAGAATGAACATGTTGTGGTGAGAGCTTTGTGCTGTGAAAGAAATCCTGTCCAGTGGCAAAGTGATATGATATTATGCAATTAGCTCCGTCTTCAGCCTTTTTTCTCTCCATTTGAGACACATTTTTTATCTCACCACCGTGTCTAGAAGCAATTTTTTCATTATTATGTGAATGTAAACTATTCACAGTATGATTGTTGTCTTTCTGTTAAAGGAGAGATGGAAGAGATAGGGGGGAAAATGAGTAATTAGCTCTTTCGTAGTATTGTATAAAGGCCTTTTTTTTTCTACCGCCATTTGCCCATTTGCGATTTTCATAAACGTTTTAAATTTGCAAATGAGTGGTACAGTGTCATGTGTGCTGTCTGAGGTACTCCAAGATACATACTAGTACGCAGCATCTCATTCTCAAGTACAGTTGAATTCCAATACAACTTATGGCAGGAGGAAAGTTTAAGGAAAATGCAGCAGGCATGTTCTATACATATGGACCGACGTAGATAGAACATGAATAAGAAGCAAAAACAGAAGGAGAGTGACAAAATATAGTAGAAGTAACACTCAAACAATACTCCCGAACGACTTGAATTTGAAGATTTATTTTTAAAATCATAAAAATCACAAATTCATGTAGCGCACACAAAAAGTGGTATGGGGCAATCTTTGTCTGAAAAGAGGATGATGTGTGTGAATTGTTTGTTTTTGTTTGCCGAAGATGCAGCAGGAAAAGATGTTTTATATTAAAGGGGTCAGCAAGTAAAATTTACAGGTGCTATCACAAAGTAGACTGAATCCCCCTTCGTAGTTGCCACAGAAAGATATTTATTAAAATATTAATTCGAAGACTCAAAGTGATTTTTATTGGAACTGATAGGATGAAGTTATTTGTAATGACTGTTTGCTTTTGTGCTCTGTCTAAATTTGTTTTCGTGTGCAAAAGTATTGTGAACTCTCTTGTACCAAATTTCTGTTTCGGAAAGATTTTATTATTATTTACTAAACATTCACATTACTAGATGTTTCAACACCTCAATCTTGTTACTATTTCGTTTCTTTTTCTTTCTCTCTGTTCAGGAACTTCCTCAATTTTGTCACAGAGGAGATGATAGAACCGCACAAGTGAGTTTCGAAAACTTTGCTTGTTACGTTCTCCTGTATGTTTGTATGAGCATATGAGGAGAACAGGCACGTCAAGACAGAAAAAGTCTTTTTGTATTGGAAAAGAGAAAGAGAAGAGAGAATTTTGAAACCAAAGAACATTTGTCAGCATCTTTCCCTCCCTTATTTTATTCTTTTAATTATTATTATATTGCTCAAGACTTTGCAGTTGTTATGTGATTATTTTTCAGCAATATTGTGTGTTGTATTTTTTGCCCCTGAAAATACGATACTGATAGGCAGATTGCTTTCAACTGTGTCTGTCGTTGTCAATTTCTGGATATAATGCAATATGTGTAGCATTCATGGCAATGTTTGAGCGAATGATAGTAAGATATACTGAGAATATAATTTGTGAGGTAGCGTGGTGAAATCAGGCTCTCGTCAATTTTTAGGCATGTCATGTAGTGTTATTGGTATAATCTTAAAGGTTGTTCACTTGTGTTTATTTGGATGAAAAAAATACCCCTCCATCTTGAATACAAGTTGAGCTATTTGCGAAAGAAAGAGGTGGTGGTCACCTGTTTTCAGAGGTAAAATTAGTGAGAAAATGGCCGCCAAAGATTGGTTATTTCCTTAGCTTAAGAGTCCGTGTTAACTGAAAATGTACATCTTTTGTGCCTTTAATAAACGTTTTTCAGAAAAATCCACTTAGAAATGAGTTCTGTAATGGGCATGAAAGATGGAAGTTTCTTCACTTTGATTATTTTGACGAGAGCCTGATTCCACCACGCTGCCTCACATTTGTTTTCACATTCATTGAAAGTCTTTAATGTTTGTGTTTACATTTTTAAAAATCCTTTTTAGTACAATTCTATGTTGCAGTTTACTTCTGTTCCAAAACAGTGATGTACCCTCTTTGGAATCTGTTGTGAGAAATAGAGATATAATTTTGTTAAAACTGAAAGGTGCTAGTGTTATTTGACGTGACACGGATACTAAAATCCATTGCACAACCAATCTAGACACCTATCTGGTTATTATTTTTCAGAAACCTGCCAAGAGCTATCTACATTTCCATCCCTATTGTAACAGCTGTGTATGTGCTGGCCAATGTAGCTTACTTTACTGCCATGTCTCCACAAGAAATGCTCACTTCATATGCGACAGCTGTGGTAAGCACCTGTGGCTGTAATGAATGTTAAACGTCTTTGTGGATTTGTGTGTGTGTGTGTGTGTATGTGTACCTGTCATAGTTTTGTATGTTTTTCTTTTGTGTGTGTGCTGGAGTGTATGTATTTGTTCGTGATGGATTGGTTTGTATATTTGGGTCAGTACATGAGGTTCTCTCTATATAATGTTTGGAATTTGGCTTTGTGAACAGAAGGGTAGAAGGTTTTTCCTTCTTTTTCTTTCATGATGCACTTTGTCTTTCTGCAGTTTGATTAGTAGTATTTGGAAGGAAGGAGAAAAGGGATGGAAAGCAAAATCATCTGTAAGAAATTCTGTACCCTTGACTCTACTTGCTTAAGACAAAAAAAGCACTTGTGTGACCACAATTTTTTTTCTTTTCTTCTCTAGTCTTTTGTACCTACCCTTTCTCAGAATTTTTTATAAACGGAAAATGAAGCTGTGTCTCATGTTTAAAATCTTGCCCTTCTCTCTCTCTGTGCAACAGACTTTTGGGCAGAATGTGTTTGGGTATGCTGCCTTCCTCATCCCAATCTTCGTTGCCCTGTCTACATTTGGTGGTGTCAATGGATTGCTTTTCACCTCAGGAAGGTAAGGCTTATTGATAGTTTGACATAGGCCTGTGATTTGGGCAACACGACAAACAATACAAACGGGAAAGCAGCTATTTTAAAGAGGTGAAAATAAAGTGTACCTTATTTTAAAGAGGTGAAAATAAAGTGTACCTTATCTCGTGTCAGTATTTTATTGAATCAAGTGCTCTTAAATAAACTAATAGTGTTGATAGGGGTGTTAAAATCTACATGTATTAAATCAAGGTGGGATTTTTAAAATTGTTATTATCTTTTTTCTTTATGATTGTCTGCTGGATTTTTTAGGACTACCAAATGAAATTAATTATTTGTACATATATTTTTTCCCTCTCCATGGCTTAAGCTATTATTACATGTATGCACATAAAGCAGTTATCATTTATATGTTTAACTTATTATTCTTTGGCTTCTTGCAGGTTATGTTTTGTGGGAGCCCGGGAAGGTCACTTGCCAGGGGTTATGTCTATGATCAGTGTGCAGAAATTTACACCCCTGCCGGCCATTCTCTTCACTGTGAGTGTCAAACTAGTTTGAAAGTCCCAACATCTAGCCCCTTGTAATGAAACTTCTGGAAGTTTGATTAAGATTTATACTCTAGTTTTTCTGTTTTTGACCCGTACACCTGTACCATTGAGTTGATCCTTCCGATTGTGCATTTTGTGAAGATTTCAATTGAGTAGTTGAGTCTGTGTGTCAGTAAAAGAATGTACAGGGTGATCAAACAAGAATTAATCGATTTCATTACACAATATTTTGATAAGGAAAAGCAAGAGAAAACTCAAGCTAAGTCTCAAGCTTTGTACTCACAATCAATTTTTATTTCCTGTCTTACAAGTGTTCAATGTGGCCAGCACCACCAGCAGCACGGGCAACGTCAATGCCATAAGAGAATTCATCCCAGATGTGTTTCAGAATATCGGGGTCCACTGAGTTGATAGCTGATTTGATTCAATGTTTTAGGTCATCGAGGCTAGTGGGTAGCAGTGGAACATAAACACGATCTTCTACGTATCTCTACAAGAAAAAAATCACACACGCTTAGGTATGGGGATCTGGCAGGCCAAGCACAGCAAGTAAATCATGGGCCCCTTTTGAATCAATCCATTGCTGGGGCACTTTTTAATTTTTAAAAGCTCGAACCATCAGATGCCAATGGAGCAGTGCTCCATCATGTAGAAAAATGAAGTCAGGTGAATCTGCTTGCAGTGATGTGAAGAGCCAGTTTTGAAGCATATCGAGATAGCTTTGTCCTGTAAAGGTATTTCATTCAAAGGAAGAACATCGAAACAACAGCAACCCTTTGACTGCTATTCAAAAGTTAGATAACTCCTCTTTCAAATGTCCGCTGATTCATCCCATAATGATGCTTGAGAACTGAAGCAATACGTCATAAAATCGATTTATTCTTTTTTAATCACCCTGTATTGAAGTTTAGTTAATATATGGAGAGTGTTAAACATGAGGGATTGCATTGCGTGTTGAGGTTTTATGCTCCAGCTGTGAAACATATTGTATGTGTTGTTCCCTGGTTTGTTTTTCTGGTCCATGGGGGATTCATGGATGCTTTAGTTTTGTCTGATCTTTGTGGTGCTCATGTTGTCATAATTTGTTTATGGGAAGAAGTGACCTCAACTATGTTAGCTCAGCATCAGCTACAAACTCAATATCTAATCCCTGACTTACTTACCACGTTTCTGTTTGAGCATTGTCTTGTCAGATGTTTTCACAGAATTCCTTTTGTTCCAGGGTATTATGTCTATCCTGATGCTGGCGTCTGATGACATTTTCGCCCTAATCAACTACCTCAGTTTTGCTCAATGGCTCTCAGTGGGAGCCTCCATTGCTGGCATGGTCTACCTTCGCTTTAGAGAGCCGGACTGGCCCAGACCCATCAAGGTAAACAACTGTGCTCAAATTTTATGTGTTGTGGAGAACTCACAGAGACTGGTGTTGGGAGCGTCAGCTTTTTTGTATTACACTGATGGATTTTAAAAAAATTTATTTTAAGATCAATTGAGAATCTACACAAAACTTGAAATAAATAACTTTGTCCATTCAAGATTAGCTAATATGGTCCAAAATTTTACTAATTCCCGCCCTCTTCATTTCCACATGAACTTGACAATTTTTAATTTTCCCGCAGATGCCGCTGATTGTCCCTATTTCGTTCCTGATAGTGGTAGCCTTTCTGCTGATTGTGCCCCTTGTGGCCGCGCCCTACGACACAGGCATGGGTGTCCTCATCATCTGTTCCGGTATTCCTGTCTACATCATCGGAGTGGCCTGGTCCAACAAGCCACGTGTCTTCAAAAACTTGATGGGTGAGTAGACTTACTTCTCAATGCGCTCGTCACCATGTTTTGATAAATGGTCACGTTTGGCTGATTTTTTACAGTTGCCCAACCTCTAAGGTCAAAGCAGCTGAAAGCAACCCAGTCAAGAGTGGAGCCTTTTAGTTTACCAAGAAGGTTGATGCAAATGGAAGCATAGAGAGAGAAAATGCCTCTGTCTCCTTAAGTGCTTTCTCAGTTTCTAAAAAGTTTTAGGCTGTGTGCTAAATGTTCAGAAAGTTGAAATGTTGATGAGCACTCCCATAGTTCCGTTCAACTTACACTTGCTTTCATTGATAGGTGGGAGGGAGGAGGATGTCCTTCAAGTCACATGTTTTTTTACTATCTGTCTGTTTTCTTGCTTCTTTCCAGCAGGTGAAGAACAGTATTGTGTGTTAATGTTATTTGCTCATGCAACTAAGTCTATTAACATAATTGTAATGTTAGATTTTATGTTTTTGTGCAGACTATCTGTATTTACTTGCAGTAAAGCATGCTTTTTTGTGTCTTTACAGAGAAACTGACTCTCTTTGGACAGAAGGTGATGGTGGTGGCGGCTCAAGCAAAGGAATCATGATATCAGTGAGCTGGCAACTGATCAAAATGTTGTATTTATTCTTCACCAATGACAGAACAATCAATCTAATATGAACATAGTTTGAGAGTACTAGAATAAGAAGCCAGTAAAATTAGATACGATAGCTTGTATTACGGGGATGGGATGTCTGCATTCAAAGGTTATTTTCTTTCTGTACTGGTGGATTTGTTCTACCTTGATGTGGATGCACAGACCATTGAAGAAGTCACCCCAGCCTCTCTTCGTTTGGTCCTTTGGGTGTCATAAAAACACTATCATGTTCAATTCTAGTTGGAAAACTAGTGGAATATGGCCAGAATTTCTCGCATTCAGTAAGCAAGTATGCAGTTACTGCTCTCTGTAGAATTCAAGTCAGTATCGGATTCTTTTCAAAGGCTTTTCTGTTAGGCTTTAGAGAACTTGCTTCTCCGGGTTAAAACTCTAATCTTTGTGCTAATGTAAAAAGAGATGTAATGAATTGTGCCCGGAGGTTTGTCTGACATGCTTGTGCTGTCACTATATGGCGTCATCAGCTGTGTGATCAACAGTTGATTGGGCAAGCTTTATTGCTCATGAGATTTTCTATTTGTTTTCTAGTTTATTATTAAGCTCAGATGTACTCCTTCTTTACTGCTCGCAATTTTGAATGGGGCTGTAGATTTTTGTATATGTGTATTATAGTGGGGGGGGGGGGGGAGTTGTATAGATTGAAGGTTGCAATTTAGGTATCGCAGAAACTTTTGGGCTGGGTTTCTAAGTTTCAGTTGCTGTTTCATAGGAAATAGCAGGTCGGTTTCCAATGTAAGAGGCACTCTAATCAGTCTCTTTTTTTTTGCTATCAATGTGCAAGTATGTTGTTGGGAGTTTGAAGTTGTTTCAATTACTGTAAGAGGGGTTTTTTCCCCTGAGTTTGGGAGCTTTCAATTTTTGTGAACTCCCTTATAATAGTTTTATTGTGTTCAGCTGTCTATAAAGGACATTTTATGTACATCTTGTAATTTCTGCATGTGAAAATCGTTAGTTTGTGAAATGGCAAAAATTGATTCTCAAAATAAGGAAGAATTTTGCCACAGGCCATGTCTGTCAAAAGAATGTTCCAGGAGATTTAAATTGTTCTGCAATGTTTTATCTGTTAGAAACAAATCGTGACTGTCTTGTTTTGATTGTCTTCTGTCAAGAGAATGTCTTCTTTACCAAGTGTAAGTGTTGACGAAACAGCTCTCGTGACAATCTCACTTTGTAACATCCACACAAATCTGTCTCAGTAGTTTAGTTTGCAAATTTCGCTATGTGTTTTGTGAATGGCAAACCAAGATCACAGATGACCGACTCTTGAAGAACAAGAAGAATTTGATGGTTTTTGGTCCGTGCCCTTTATCGACATGTGTTCCGACCAAGAGAAATGACGTTTCTCTCTTATACAGCAAGTATGCTGTAGGGCCATCATTTTATAATGCTTTATCATTAAAATGATAACACTTTTTTTTTTTTTAAGAAGGTAAACAGGAACAAGACACTCAAAATGTCTCTCTTGGAAGTATTTTATACCAAGAAATCTTTAGAAAATACAATTTATACATTACCTTCGAAGTGGTCAATGATTCGGTTTTTTTCTCTGGCAATGTTAGTTGTATTATAGTGGTAGTGGTGGCATTGGCTCATCTTGGAGGTAATGTTTTGTGTTAACAGTCTTGATACACTCACTTTATCTGAAATGGTTATTTCAGTCCATGCTACACTAAATGCTTGTTACTGCCATGATGTGCTCATGTTTCTGTCATGTTTAAAGCATCACCATTGTTATGTTTCCTTTATCACAAAGTATATATTTTCTGGGGAGGGGGGGGGGAGTTCTAAAGAAGGAGTCTAAATTACTACATAGATTTTTCTTTTGTTCATTTCTTTCATTGTGTTGTCTAAGGAGTTCCGTGGATGGAGGCAGTACAAATTCACACAAGCCTTGTTTTCTCAAAACTATTTTGCATACCCTTTTACTTCTGTGGGGTGTCCTATATACTGAGAAAATAACAAGCTTGACTACTGTGCAAGCCATCTTGGTTAATGTCTCGAACAGGATTTTTACATTTGGATTGTTTTAACAGTTTTTATGGTTTTCCGCCCACTTGCTTAAAGTCTTTCCCAGGCAGACATTAAAACCCGAGGGTCACACTTAGTGAAAAAAAAAAACCTCACTGTATTGAAGGTGACTTTCAACCTATGCCAAACTGTCTTTGTGGTCACAGCATCATAAAAAATACAAAATAACATGTAAAACTGATATCAGTTTTCTTCACATGTACCATTTTGCCAAGAAAAGTGAAACATGATTTTTTTTAACGACAAAACAAGTTGAATTTCAATCAAACTTCAGAGGAAGTGGAAGCCTTTACCATAAACCTCAAGAGAACCTTAAACTCAAAGGTTATATTCTGAAGTATACATATTTCATCGCTCTACATGCCTTTCAGTTTGTTTGTTGTTGTTGTTGGTTGGGGTTTTTTTGGGGAGGGGGGGGGGGGGTCAAATGTCCTGTGCTTTTCACTAGGTGGTCTTCTTGCAGTCGTTTATGTTTCTGTTCTGGAATTTGATGACGTATGTGTTACTTTGTCAACTTTGGCACATTGAGTTTGGTGTGCCGCTTAGCCTGTACACTTTTCAAAATAGTTTTCTACACTGTCGAGCTTAACACTTTCTTTCAAGGTCCATTTAATTTTTGTCAAAAGTCGTGTGATTGTTTGTAAACATCCAATTTTCAGGAACCCACAGACCTCTTCTTGAAAACGACTCTTTCCTTCATGGGTTTGTCATGAGTGAATCTCAAATCTGAGCATTGTGACAATTGATGCTCGTTGAGGAAAAGTTTTTCATAATGTATATTAGGCTGAACTTTACACAAAATTGTACTAGTATTTTGTTTGTAGTGAGATTGTGAAATATGTTACAAGTCTAAAGGACTGAAGTAACCAATACGACTCCCAATTCTACAGCTGATTATGACAACTTACAAACTGTTGATTGTGTTAGAAGCTTGTGTTCTATGTCAGTTTAGTATTTTCGTTTGCCTTTTTCAATGTTAAATTCTGATGTATTTTTTTTCTTTGTTTCATGGCACTCAAAAAACTGAATTTTGTAGTGTTAGTTATATGACATACATTTTTTTTTTCTTGACACTTTTTAAAAAAGATTTTCATTCATAATCAATTCATTTAGGAAATGAATTTAGTTTGTTAAATTAGTGATGGTTTTTCAAATCCCTTTTGTACATTGTGGCAACTGTATTCATTGATGCTTAAATTTCTGTATGAGAAAATTATTTCTGCCAATGTTGTGTATGATGAGTGTATGTATTTGTACTCGCGCAACCTCTTGTGGTGTCCATTGTGTGGGTGGTACCTGATATCATTGTGACTGTAGGTACCATTTATTTTTTATCAGTAATGCTGCTATCTATGTTACTGTTGTTCTATTGCTGAAAGTGAGGTGCCTGCTTTGTGTAATGCTTCTTGTAAATCTAGCCTTTTTCAGTGATGCCTTAATGCTTCTCCCTAAATTTGCTCAGCTAATGGAAGGCGTATAAAAAAGTCTTTGTAAAGTTGTTGTCAATACTACAAGGTCTCCGTTTGCCAAAGATAATCCTTTATCTGACTGTACTAGGAAGTTATGGCTTAAATATGATCTTCAAATTAGCCATTAGTGAAAATTCTTGGGTTTACTTTTTTTTTATGTGAAAATTTTGAAAAAGCGTGCTGGAGATTATAGTGTGTTACGATCTTTTTAAGTATGAGACCCTTTAAGGGGTTTAAGAATACTAGACTGTGATAGAGTATGCAGTAAAAATCGTTGTCACCTTCACCCACTCAGCCACCCTGACTGTGTAACACTTGATTTCAGGGTACCCTGTCTTACAGAAATTTGTTGCTTATCTTTTCGCTCTAAGAGAAGTTTTCATTACCAGAATGAAATGCAAATGTCTTTTGGAGGTTCAAATAGCATTACTGTTGTATTTTATTTTTTATTTTTGTAACGCACACACATTGTTGCAGGATGGTTTGAGTTTTTATGTGTTGTATTTAAATGAAATCTTTGGTTGTCCTCCATTGATTTCAAAAGAGATTGTTTGCTAGACTAGAATCCGACAGTGTAAATGCATATATATCTGATGAAGGTTGCTTTTCGATTAAAATAGTACAGTTTATATGACATACCTGGATACCTTTCCAAAAGAATCTTGTCTGTGTGAGATGCAAAAATGTATCCCGTTTACACCCATGCATTTCTTATCCAGTGTTAGCTGGTAGCAAAGACTTACCAAATCGCAGTTGATAATTCTGTTTGGCTTGGCGTCTGCTGTGCCAGTTGTTTATTTTTACACCAGAGTTGATCTCATCCTATGCTGTGGTAAACATAATATATAACAATGAGATGTACAAATGTTATGTTCCTGTCTGTGGCTTACTCAAGTTGATTTATTTATTTACATTCAGTTGAGGGTTTCGGGAAAGAAAACAAACTTCTGAAATAGTTAGCTACTGTAACATGATTTGGTACTTTGTAAACTAGTACCTGAGGGACAGATGTTCGAGTCTGCTTGAGATATATACTTTTCTCATTCCTTCCATGAATATTTTCTCTTGGACCTATGTCTAGCCTGGGAGTTAGTGCCGGCCTTCCAAATGATGTAATGTTCATGACTGCTGTCTAATGGGGGGATGTAGTTTTAAAAAAAACTAAACAAACTACAGAACAATTCAAATGTTAGGTATTACATACTTCCTTAGCTCATGCGGAGGTATTTCTAGAAGGAATACAAGTTTTACACTTTGTCATCACAAGGCTCATATAAAGACTCTTGCCATCACAGGCAAAGGCATTTTGTTGAGAATCCAAAGAAACTGGGTGGTAAATATGGCCGATCGGTGACTTGTGACGGCAAAGTGTTAAACATAACATGGATAGAAGTGCAATGATTGTTGAGCACTATGGTATCGGAAACTAATGATAACAGCGTCTCGATGCTATGCTTGAGAATGGTAATGGGTTGAATTATTAGAATTAAAGATCCAGGATAGACTCACAGTACACAGTACTTGTGCTCTCAGGATTTGGTTTTATATTTGATTTATTTTTCTTATTTAAAACAATCTAGATTACAGGTTTGTAATTTCTTCTTTCGAAGGGAAAAAGGGAAAGTAGAATATTAGAGTTTTGGGGGGTTTTTCACCTGATGTCGTTTGCTTAAGACTGCCTTATTGAACTTTGTATAGTCTTCCAATGTCCTAATATTATTTTTTTATAAAGAGATTCCAGGGCTTTGAGCCTGAACTCTTTAAGGTATTTCCATGTCTTGATCTCTGTGACAAAAAGTAGCACTGTCAGTGTCTCTACCGTAGGATTTTCTCTTACGTTAGTTCATATTTGATTTTGGGTGCTCCAGAAATTAAAATTACAGAAGAAGACCATCACACTTTGACCCACTCCTTTACTTAGTTCCTTCTATCACTGATATAGTAGGCCACACTTCTCATTTCAATTTTTCATTACTATTTAGATTGAAAGTGTGAGATTTCCTAATAAAGAAGGACAAAAGAAAAAGACTTCAAAATTTATGGTGTTGGAGAAATGCAGGTTTCTGCGGCGTCAGATACTTAGAGTGTTAACATTTTCACTTGGGTGTAGTAGGGAGGTTTCAAGAAGGAAAGTGGCAACCCACACAGTAAGGCTTACAGTTAATGGATGGGATACCAACTTGCTCTGGATGTCGAAGTGGTTAGAACAATGAGTAATGTCCATGAACTGTAACCATTCCTGTTGGTTCTTTCAGTCCTTGTCAAAGAACGTTATGTTGAAGTACTTGCCTTATGATGTGCCCCAATATCATTTGTGTACATGATCTGTACGCTTCATGGTAAGAAGAATTTCCTCTTGCTTTAGGATAACGAGTGCCATGTATGTGAGGAAAGATAGTTATTTTAAGGAAAACTTGTTGGGTTCCATGACAATTTGGAGTTCTTTTTACCCTCATGGACTGTGAACTTGAGTCCAGTCAGGACCTTCACTTTGTAAGTACTGTACCTTATTTCTGACTATGACTCTGTACTCCCATGTCACTATCTTACTGCTGGATTTTTTACTGGTCAAATATCTAGTACCGTAAGACGGTGATTGTCAGGCTGTTTCAGCTTTTGTGAAATGTTTCATTGGTTTATTTATCAACGTCTCAGCCAAGGCCATGACTCATACTGGAGTAGTATACACTCATAACAATAACAAAACATCTTACTGTGCTTGTATACCTGGAAAACACATTATTGAAAGGATAACAATTGTTTCACAGCTAGCGTGCCATAACGACTACTAACTTAATACCTCCCAAACCTTTTTCCGTTGACCAAACGCATGATATTACCAATACCTTTAATGCTCTATTTATTTTCATGAAATTTTTGTTTTCATACTTTCACAGGATTAAAAGAAAAATCAAAGCCATTTACATATTTTCCTCACAGGTGTCTATATTCTCAGTTGTGTAAATAATGTAGGTGTTGGTGGCAAATCTTGCTCAGACCACTCATTATTTATTGTGTTTGATCTGTGCAACGAACTTCAGAGTGTGTTTGTTATGTATGTATGTATATATACTGGTTTCACAAAATTAGTCTGTCCTTTTTGTCGTTGATATTTGAAGTAGGTACCTGTTGATGATTGGTTACTCTGTGTATTATTTAGACTTTGGCTTCTGGTTCTTACAGTCATGAAATAATGTGTTGAGCTAATGGTGGAGGTGTTGTCTTCTTTTTTCTTTATTTAGATAGATGGTGGTTATTGGTAATGGTTCATCTATAGGTCAACGAATGGAAATGTGATCGGGACATTTCTCAGCTTGCTCGCTTGATATTTATTTCTTTGGATATGTGCATTTACTATTGTCTGTACAACCATGGATGGGATTTCTTATGGACTGCCTGTCTATTAGACCAAAGTATAAAATGTTATATGTTATGATCATTACTTCAGCGAGACATTTCACTTTGTTGCTAAAAGAGCTCAAGGCTGAATCGTCCTGCGTTCAAATAAGTTACCAATACATCTTGTTATATATGCTGTAATTTTCCTAATGGCAACATGTCTCTGGATATCCACTTTTCTTGTGTAGAAAATGACTTCTTGTCTAGAAGCTCTTCTGTTGACTATGATGTACAGTGGTGTTTGTGGCTGGCTGTCCTGTTTAACTAAGTCCTACTTACACCGCTAGACTTGTGTAACCCGTGGTATTTTTGTCCACTGCAGGGCTAGTTTGTTTAAGTAAATTTAAGTCCAGTCCAAATCCAAAGTGTCTAAGGCAACCATCCGTTGTCAAGGAGAAAAAATGGCTGTCTTAGATTGACAACTTGGACAATGTCATTAAACACAGGGATGGGGGGGGGGGGGGGGGGGGATGGGATGTGTCCGTTTGCACAGATGATTATTTTGGACAGGTGGTCATTAGAGCAGGTTCGACTGTACATATCTTTTGGCACAGGTGCTACTTAGTCCAGATTTTAAATTTGGACATGAAGCCGCCTTGCCTTTACTTTTTTTAAGGGATTTCTTCACCTTAGGTTCTTTTTTTTTTCAAAAGCAGTGTAAATGCATTTGCTTAAATTGCCTTGGAAAGTATATAAAACTACTAAGGATTACTCAGTTGAAATTCAACCCTTTCTATATCTTACTTAAAGTAAAGTATAGATGTTTTGTAAGTTGTATCACAGTGATGCGAACAGTTTATTGGTGTTTGGTGTAGAAAGAGTTGAATCTGTTGGACAGTCGGTGTCTTTCTACCTTTACTTTTACTTTCTTCTTTATTATGCAGAATGGTTTTCTAGAAGTACCAGTGATGATGCCAATGATCTTTGCCTGCTTCTTAACAAATCTTTGCAAAAGTTGTCTATGTCCAGTTATTGACGCATTTTATGAGCAAATAAAGCAATGCGAATATTTTGACACTGGTGTTGCTTTTCAAAAAAATAAATGGGCACCAAAGCAGAGTCAAGTATGAATGTTTGATATATAGGTCTTTCGTAGGTCTCTTTTGCATCCATTCATCAGTTGTTGTTTTTTCTTGAACTGATGATTTTAGGAGCTCTGTTGGCTCAGTTGGTACCATACTGCTGGATTACAATGTGGTTGAGCTTTATCCTGGTTGAACCCCAAAAGGACACTGCTGAACTTAAGTCGTCTTGAGAGCTTTCACTCTTTTCAAGGTTTTCTGCGCATATATTGTTATGTCTTATTGTTTTAGTAAGGTTTTACTATGCTTGCAACTGCATACGGTCATATGAGCGCCAAGGGGTGGATGTCAACTGAGAAGTCCAAAAAGGGAATCAGGCTTACTTCGCTCTCTTGCTTCAACAGCACAAATTCTGCTTCGACTATCAAGGCACCCTGAGAAAATAGCGGGTCACAAGAGAAACATACAAAAGAAGTAGAGGAAAAATGACAATAGTTAGGACGAGGAAAGAAAAAGCGGTAGTTAAAGCTGTGGTCACTGTTCGTGAATAAACTTGGTACTGAAAGGGGCGATAAACCCAAACATTCCTTATTAAATTAGCCTCTACTCATTTCCAACGAGCTGTTTGACTATGTCTTAATCTTGCTGGTTGAGTTCTTTGTCCCCACAACCAGTTTGACAATGAGATTTGGGTTCAACGAACCTTTAAACATAGCAGTTCTTTTTTCAGGGAGGGACCTCCAATTTTAAAATGTACTTCCAAGATAATGTACAAAATTCCAAGAGGGCGAAAGCACGGACGGAGAGCCATGAAAACTTTAAGCATTACAAAAGATTGGAAATTATTCCCGAACAAGAGATTCAAATAGCATTCCCAGACTGCTGTCCTGTATGAATCCAGTTGAGCAGACAAACAGGCATCGAATGACCACCACATTTGGTGGGAACTACAATTGTGAGGTGAACAGACAAAATGAGTTACTTTTCGCCTATCATGATTAGAGATATCGGCTGAAAATCGACACAGGGGTCAAATTTGTAGATTTTCAACTGATGCCATTTTCTTCAAGTTTAACAGGTCTTTCATAATTGCCTACTAATAAATTGAACAAACTCAACGTATATTTTGGACATATCTATTCCCATTGGGCTAAAATCTGAGAATCAACTCATTTTGTCAGTATGCCTCAATATTGACAAAATGAGGGTCTGCACAAGGGGAGGGAGGCATTTATAGTGGTACTATTCTGTATCTTCAGAAAAGCGTGATCTCAGGTTAACCACTATGCTAATTGTAGACGAATGCCCACCCATGTTACACAACTGATAATTAATTCATATAGTTCATATATTATGTGTGCAGAGGGAGGGACGGGGAAGGCTGTTGACCGAGATGAATGCATTGGGCTCACAAAAAATGCCAAAAGTACCTGGTTCTATTCCTAGTTCATAAAATCAGGTTCTAACAGAGGACCTTTCTGTCAACCCTGTCCCTACAGCAGACAGAATTCAGCAATATATCACATAAGAATGAAAATTTGTCACTACATTATAGTAAACAGACCTTGACAGATGAAAAAAAACGAGCTGGCTTGTCAAAATTGTTAATACTATTTATTGTTGACTTTCTTGGTTTCAGGCTTGCTACGTGAATACGATGTACAATTCCCTTTTACATTACATTAAGATTAATAACTTAAACAATAAGATTCTGAGTGCATTGTGCTTTGCAAAATGTAGGTAAACCTGTACAATTGTAAAGCATAAAATTCTCTTGATAATTGACTGGCTAGACCAATCAATCAAATAAATAAATTCTTCTACAAAAAGTAAATGCATGATCAGACCTGAATATCACAAATTGAAACATGAAAGAACATTTGATATGCAGTAATTACCTAAGACTTTGGACATCTCACAGTGCCTTCATTTTCTTTTTATTGTGACCTGTCAAACAGCATAAAATTTAAAGTCCTATGAAAAGCACTTTACAAAAAAAGGGACTACAAGGCAGCCAAGCGCACAAAGAAAAATACAATTTACAGACAAATGTGTGGCATGTGCTGTGTGGAGAGAAAACAACATTATAAATATGAATGGGGCTCTTTCAAATACTTTGTTATAGGAAATCCATCATTCTTGCAATCCACAAATCATTTAATCATTTGAGGAGTATTTAAAATTTTAAGTTGCAATTACTTTATTTAGACTGTATTTTACTACAGAAGAATCTCCATGGAACGTCATAATAATCAGTTTTTATGAAGATTTTTTTTAGTTTCGCAAAACATGCATATGTCACAAAGTCTAATATTTGGCAGTGTAAAATTGTATTCCAGAACATATGAGATATACACCAGATTATAAGACACATTTGAAGCAAAAGGATTTACTTCAACAAGCTGAAACCATCCTTGATACTATCAAGAAAATATAAATGCTTCAAAATCAATTGACTCAGCTGAACAATTAACAATACTAAACGCCACCAACTTCCAATACATTTGGAAAGCATCCCAAAACAAAAACAAATTCTCCAAGGATGGTACTGAAAACATGGAAGACAAATATATAGACATCAACATAAATATCAATGCAAGACTTTTATGGTCAACCATTTTGACTTAAGAAGCAAAATACCGTATACTCCAATTCCATCACAAATTCTTGTTGTTGATCTAATTGCAAATATATAGCCACTTAGTGGCCTGTTAGAAAAACAAAGATTTCTTTTCTTCAAATGTGCATGGACTTATCAGTACACTCCGAGACTGAAGAAGCTGAGATTGCTGCTTCTGGTTATTATTGTCTGACTTTCTGCTGGTGGCTGACACAGATTTGAGACAAATCTACCAGTAACTCCAAGTTTTACCTTTAAATTACAAACATAATTTCTCCTGTGAGCAATTTTTTTCTCTTTTTTTTAACAAGCTTTTTGGTTTCCAGTAAGGTGATGGCCAGTTTCAATAAATTACAAATAATAACTAATTAAAATGCTTACATTACTTTTATAAACAATTATTCGCCATTTTTAATAAAGAGAGCACCATCCACATTTTAGGTAGCGTGAATGCCATGAGCAAACGAAATCCAACTTCTCCTGCCTCACAATGTGGCAAAATTCTAAGACACGTTCAGACATTTTTTGCACAATCACGCAAAGTAGCCTAATATCATGTAGAAACTGATTACAATCGACTGATCGTTGCCTTGTGATAAGACCAGCTTACCCTGGTGGAGTAAATTTTATAGGTGAAAAAAAAAAAGCTAATTAGGTTTTATAATGTAGGCTATCATGGTTGTTCGGCTTTATTTCTAACGCCTTTGGAGCATTTCTAGTCAAAATTCAAACCTGTCTTTGACTGAGGAAATAAAATAATCCTCTACGAATTCCTTTTTTTTTTTTTATCTGACATTTTGAGCATTAGCTGGTCTTATCACAGTGGCAAACGAGATGCAATATAGAACAAAAACAAAAGCAAAAGCAAAAAGCATACTACGTAGTTTTTATCTTTATACCCGTACATAAAAGAAAAGTACAACATATTCTGAATTGCAATGAAGCTTGTAAAAGAAATAAAGCTTTTTATATCTGATAAGCAGACAGGGACAGATGTGGTGAAAAAATATCTCAAGGTATAAAACATCCCATGGACATAACATAAAATAAGCCTTTACCCCATCACAGATATGTTGTCCTGATTACTGACCATAACATGTCATGTCTTCCCATCTTAAACAATTGGGACTGTTTGTGTAAAATGCAAAGAAGGTCAGCATTAAATCACCATCTACGTGCAGGTAAATACTATACATACAACCATATGTTTAACATAACCTTCCTTTAGTCCTTGAAAAAGTGACAAGTTAAAAACCCTAGTGAGGAGAGAGTAAATGAATGATAACAACATCAGTGTAAAACGGATGTCTACAGACAAAAAAATTGCTACATGTAACACGCCTCACAACCCCGCCCACAGGTTACAGATCCTTGATCTTCTTAGCAATGAAGACTCCCAGAAGAACTGCAGCTCCTGCCACTGCTGTGCCTCCAGCGACACGCGTAGCGATTTTCTTCTTGTGGTGGTTTACCACATCAGCTATAGCATGCAGAACACATTTCTTCACACTGGGCCTCTGCTGCGCCTGCATCCAGTACTCCACCAGTGCCGGACGCTTCTCTGGGTCAGCATATCTGAAAATGCATTTGTTATGTTCAGAAATAAGTAAACATTTTTTAGCTCAAACTCAAGAGTTGTGGGCTCAACAAAATACCATGACAGTTACAAATGACAGATGTCTTCATCTTTTTCCCAAATAGTGTAGAGCGGTCCCAAGGTCCAAAAATAGTTCAACGGAAAGAAAAGTGTAGGAATAATTCAATGTTTATTACTAAATAAAACAAAGAACACACAATTCCATCCTATGTTGATACGCATCGAGTTGTAGACCCTGAAAGTAGACATTGAGAAGAGCCTCAGGTATGAGACACTTTCCCAAACTCCATGCCCCCCCCCCCCCTCTCCCCCCTACAAGAACACAACTTCACCGATGAAGAAAAAAGAAACAGAACTTGGCATGCCCGTGGACCCTGTGAAGACCTCCTGACCACAATGAAGAAACACAAACTAAAGCAATAGGTGGCACATCTCGTGAACACAAAGGCTTGCCCAGGCAATCTTGGAGGGTAAATAAAAGGAAGGAGAACGAGAGACAGGCCGGGAAAAGGATGAGGGGACAACATTAAAACATCACAGAATGGAAAGGCTTGAAGCTGAGAAATTCTCTGAGAGAGTCAAAGAACAGAAAGCAAAAAAAGGGACGGATGGGGCTGTCTTGGCTACTAATTCACCAGTTATGTCCCAGCAATCGACAACTTCAGCGAGGAAAAGTCACAAAAATCAGAAAGGAAAGAGGCTAGATAAAGCGTCATGTGAAGTGTCTTGTACACCCTTGTTTCGGTACGACCAAAAATTGTTTTATAAGATGGGTGACTCATCTATTTGAGCGAAAAAATTGTTGTCAACAGCGGCAGGGCAGGGGCAACAACATAGGACATCAAGCAGGACACTGTTTCAAGGCGTTTGTTTCTTTGAGTACGGAGAAGCACATTACTACAATAATGGTCAATAAGTGCTGGGGGGGGGGAAGTGAGACAAAAACAACAGAGGGAAAGTAAAGAAGTAGGACCTACCAGTGGCTTCCTCCAACCACCTGCTTTTTAGAGAGAGACAACAATGACGTACCGGTATCTTGAAAGCAAAAAATAAAAATAGAAGAAAAAATTGTTTAAATAATTTGTCACTCTTGTGTAACAAAGCAAAATATCCTCATCTGCGCCAGTGGCGACATATATTTTTAGGTGAGTACAGAGCAATGAGACCCAGTAACGATGCATAAACATCTTGCAGGACATATAATAACAATACCTGTCTAATAAACCAATCCAGTCAAGTCTTCCCAGTAAGACACAGAGAAATATATCAGCCGCAGTGTAGTTGGGACCACACAGCCAGTGCTCCAAGATGTTTTCTGAAACAAATGTTCAATCAACAGTTACACAAGGCTAATAAAGAGGAGGAAGTCTGAAAAAAGCGTTTCGTTCCCATAAAATAAAGCATGCTCATAAACATCTCAAGCTATTCAACAATGAAAACAATATTTATACATGTGTGTGTGTGCCTGGTGAAAGGGACCACATGTCGCATTTTGAAAAATCCCGTTTTTTGGCATTTTCTTGTACAGAATTCATTTTTGAACAATGTGCTTTTTAAATTTTGAAGATATCTTCAGTAGTTTTTGAGATGTGGGCCATTTTGTACGGCAAGGTACGGAAACAAAGTTTTGAGAAAAACGGCTCTAAAGTTTCACCTCTGTTTCTGCAGAAAAAACAAAAACAGAACACCCTTTTTTCATAACAAGTCACCATTCTAGTAAAAAGGTTTTGCTGTTGCTGAAATATAATGTTGTTAAATCATGTTCATAATTATTATTGTTTTGTTTAAAAACTTGATACCCCCTTCCCTCCCCCTTCATCTCCTGCAA